GAAAATAAAATACGGTCTCTGACCAGGAGCCCTAGGCATACTCCAATTTGATTTGCCTTTCTCCTCCCTGCATGAAAATAATTTTGATTCTTTTTTCTTTCCCAACTGCCATCCCTGTTGACAATCAACTGTTAGGACCCAGTTAGGCTGAGTTGAAAAAATGATCGCTTTGAGATTGTGACTCCCATAAGAAGCTAAATACAGTCAGAAAACAGGTGGAGCTAAGGGGACTCAGTGAGCCGAATAGTGGGGAAAGAATGAGATCTGGTAAGCTCTAGACTTGTAGGGTTATGCTGGAAGGAGCCTCTTCAGAAAAGTCCCAGAGGGTCGAAGTCCAGGAGATAGCTCAAAGAGTTCACAACAAGCAAGTGTGAGATTCCAAGCTCTGCTAGCCTCCTTGTGGCCCCCCTGAGCACTGCCAGTGTAGCCCTGGTGCCCCCTTCCCCTGCACCACCTGCATGAGGGAGAGAGACCTTCAGGACTGTACCCCTAAGGCCAAGCATCTGAGAAAAAGTCTCTACATCTCTCAGTATGGCTGGGTGAGGTTCCTGGGTTTTTTTTTGGGGGGGGGGAGAGGGCACCCCCAATGGTGTTCAGGGTTTACTCCTTGCTTTGTGTTCAGGGATCACTTCTCATGGTGCTTGGGGGACTATATGTGATGCCAGGGATCAAACCCAGGTCAGCTGCATGAAAGTGAGTAGCTTAATCCCTGTACTATTTCCGTGCCTCCCTTTCTTTTAAGAAAGATGTCCCAGAGTGAGGCTAACACATCCCCACCAAGACGGCCCCACAGACTCTCGTCATTCCATAGCTTCTCGTCATCACTCTCTCCTTCAGCATGGGCCTTTGACGCCCCACAGAATTTTGAGCCCTAAAAACATGCTTAGCGTTAGCGTAAATGTGTAAGAACAGGTGCTGCAAACACGTGAACTTAGATCACTGTCTCATGCCACACACAAAGGTTAGTTCACATGGAAGAATGCACTGACCATGGTCGCCAGGTCCTGCCAGGAGAGATCTTCGAGTTCAGAGTCAGAAGGAAGCCCTGAGTACCACCCGGCGTGGCTCAAAAGTCTAAATAAATATAATTTCAAAAGGGGGGTGGGTGGGGGAGGAAAACTAGGATCATTGGTGGTGTTGGAATATTGTATGACTGAAACCTGAGCAAGAACAGCTTTGTAATTACATATCTCACAGTGACTCAATAAAAAGAAAAAAATTTAAAAATATATAACTTCACTAACAGCAGACAGATAGCATAGCAGGAAGTTGCTTGCCTTGCATGCAGCCAACCCAGGTTCAATACCCAGCATCTTATATTGTCCCCTGAGCTCATCCAGAGCGCAGAGCCAGGGGGAAAAAAGAAAGAAAGAAGGAAAGAAAAGAAGAGAGAAAGAAAGAAAATGAAAAAAAGGAAATTCTACCTAATACAGGGTGTTGCCATATTATAATACATGTGATAGAATATAGGATAAGTCCTACAAATTGGAAGTCTTATGGGTCAAATAGATTAAGGTGCACGCTTTAAATGTGGTAGACCTGGTTCAATCCCAGCAGCACATGGTCCTCTGAGCATCACTGGGTGTAGCCCTGGAGGTACCTGAGCACCACCAAGTGTGACCATAGAGGCCCCCAACTCTCATCCTCTTGCAGAGCTAGCATCCTCCCCAGAGCTAGCATCCTCCAGAGGCAGCCCCTCCTGTTATAGGCAGAGAGATGCGGGGAGAGGGAAAACACGGTCTGGATATGAAACAAGCTCAAAGGTCTACAGCCTTTGAAATATAGGACCCGTCTGTGGGGCCCAGAAAACCACTGTGACATTGATTCAGCCCCAGAGCAGAAGGAGAAGTCAGGATCACACAGACCAAGGCTGCGAAAAATTGCCTTACTTCACCCTTTCATCTCATCCTGAAATTCTTTTCTGTAGTGAAGGGGACTCATTCCTGGAAAATCTGGGCAGACTGACTTAGTTTATTCTGCAAAGAGCAATTCCTCACTCCAGCCTGAGTCCACAGCTCACCTTGAACTCCCACCCCATACCATGCAGAACAAGTGGGTTTCAGGAACGGATTGATGGCTGCTTTGTGGGGCTGGTGGGGCCCAAGTGTTGGTACCATATGGGTGCTCGAAGCAGACTTTATCCAGGCTTTCCACGGGGGTTGAGGTCAGTGGAGCAGAGAGGGGGACACTCTCTTTACTTGAGGCTACCTCCTTGTCTCCCACTTCACCTACAGCTCTCACTTTGAAGCCAGTTGGCTGAGAACTCCCAAATCCTTCCCCCTGAAATACATAAAATAGGATTTTTTTTGTAAGGGGCCACAACTGGCAAAGCTCAGGGCTAACTTCTGACTCGGCACTCAGGATCACTCCTGGTAGTGCCGGGGGACCATACAAGGTGCCAATGATTGTACCCAGGTTGATCACATACAAGGCAAGCTGCTGTATTATCACTCCAGCCCTGGAATCTTTTTTATTTTTTCCCCAATTTGAGGGCTATATCCAACCATACTTGGAGACTACAACTGGCTTAGTGCTCTGGGGTAACTTCTGGAAGTGCTCAGAGGTGATCATGATTTAACCCAGGCCTCCTGCTCGCAAAGCTTGTTGAGCTCAGTTGGTTGATCTCTGCCACCAGCCTTACTAAACTTGGAATCTTAAAAGTTCTAAAAGAGCCCTTGAAGATGTCTCAAAGGTAAAATTTCTGCTTTGTCAGGATATCACCCTTTCTTAATCTAAATTTCTTTATTTTCTTCTCTATTTTTGTAGGCCATGCCTGGTGGTAATCAGAGGCTATTCGGGGCAAAACTTTTGGTCCAGGCTGTTGTTGAGCTATCCTCCATTACTTTTTTTTTTAGGGAGTGGGGACTTTGGGGGTATTGGGGCCACTCTGGGTCCATGCCCAGGGATTGATTCTAGCAGTGCTAGGGTTGGGAGTGGGGAACCACATGGTACTGGGATTAACCAGAGTGAGCCTCATGCAAAGGCCACTACTGTAACCTATGAACTCTATGTCTGGTTCCCTCTTCCCCTTCCCTCCCTGCTTCCCTTCCTTACTTCCTTTCTTATTTTCCTTCATTTCTGTTTCTCCCTTTCTTGGCTGGGTGCTGTCTACCTGGTTGTGGCTAATTTCCTCATGTTGAAATGGGGTCCCCATTAAAAAAATCATCCTGGAGTTACAGTAAGGATGCAATAAAAAAAATTGTTATTGCTGTTGTGTTTTTGGTTGTTGGACCACATCTAAAGGTACTCAGGGGTTTACTTCTGGCTCTGTGCGGAAGGATCACCCCTGGTGGGGTTAGTTGCTAGCAAAGCAAGTGCTCTAACCCGGATACTATCTCTCTCCGGTCTGAAATAATGTACTATAAAAAGGACGGATGATTGGACGATAGTTGCACACTCCATTGTTTTGGGTCAGCCCTTGCAGGGCTGAGAAGTTGTTTTCTTAAGCTTCAGTCTCCCAGCTGGGTGCTCAAATCCAGAGGATGCGATTCATTTCCGAGTTAACTCAGAAAAGACACCATTCACAGAAGAAAGCTGCACCCCTGAGAGCCATTCACAGAGCACAGAATGGAAGTGAGACCTTGAGGAGCTGCGCCTTGCCTGGGCACAGCGCTAGATCCGGGGTTGAGGGAGAATGAATGGAATTCATTTTACTTTTTTTGCTTGTTCTTCCATGGAGGATAAAAAGGAAAAGTTGACCTTGGGCGGAAAGTGAAAGAGAAGTTGGTCATTAATCTATACACACTAATTATGCGTTTAGCTACAAGACTTCAGTACTTCAATGAGATGGGTAGGTATGCGCATGTACCCTGGCAGTGCAGGCACAGGGAGGGCACTGAAGCCTCTACCCTATTCCCAAGATCCTCTACTCAATTTTCCTATAAATATTCCATCTCTCCTCTCCCAGCGGGGAAAGCAGGACTAAGCTGATGATTTGACAGCCATGAATGTGGTACCCAAATTTAGTTTTGTTTTGGAGTCATACCAGAGATGTTCAGGGTTATTTACTGGCTTTGTGCTCAGGAATCATTCTTGGCAGTGCCCAGGGAACCAAATGGGATGCTGAGGATTGAACCCGGGTCGACTGTGTGCAAGGCAAGCGCCCTACCCTCTGTACTATAGCTCTAGCCCCAGCACCCAGATTCTTACACTGAATTACATTATTCATCCAATTAACAAATGAGTAAAGCATGTTTAGAGGCTGTTTAGCATGAGCCAAGTTCTGCATTCCTGCTTGGAGTGGTAAACAAGATAGTAGAGACCCCCTCTTTGCCTGATAAGAACAGACCACAGCCTGTTAGATTCTCTTTGGTTCTTAAATTGATACAAGAAAAAGGGGTGAGACTGAGAACAGAAGCAGCAAAGCCCGCACTGATATGACTCCTTGGGGCCAGATGGCATCGAGCTCATGGAGTTCACCTAGAGGTAACTGGGAACCTGTGAAAGATTTTCTTGTGTTTGGGGCTTGTTTTTTTTTTTGCTTGGGGGCCCACCCCTGGCTTTGTGCTTGTGAACCATGAGATGCCGGGATTCTGCATGACATCTCTCTGCCCGCCCCCCCCCAACAAATAATGACTATTAAGAAATTGACATAATTAAATCTGAATCTTGGGAAATGGAGGAGGGGCTGCAGGGGGCAATGCAGAGGGAGGGAGACTCGTTAAGAGGATTCTACAACTGTTCGGCGACACAAGATGTCCTGACCCAGAGTGGCGCCCGTGAGGACAGAAGGGACCGTTTCAGGCTCGCTTAGGAAGTTAAATCGGCCAGGGATGATTTAACCCCCACTCCCCGCCAAGAAAAGGCCTCGAATAAAGACCCTGGAGAAGAAACTAGAGAGATGTTAGCAAAAGCTCGCTTTACTTTGCTCCTTAAGCCACCTGCTGCCCCACGTCCCTTAGTCTAGCCGCCTCAAACACCCGAGATCACATCAAACAAGGGGCGGGGCAGGCGCCCACAGAAATCCGGGAACGTTTATTCAAACTGGGTGGACGTCAGCGGAGAGCAGAGGAAGAACACTCGGCACTTCCGGAGCCGCCGGAAGCGCCACCGCCGACGCTCCTCCGCCGGCGGAGGGCCGGGTGGAGGGATGGCGGCACGCGCGGCGCGGCTGCTGCTGCTGGCCGGGGCGGCCGCGCTGGCGAGCGGCTCCCAGGGCGACCGCGAACCGGTGTACCGCGACTGTGTGCTGCGATGCGAGGAGCGGAACTGCTCCGGGGGCGCGCTGAAGCACTTCCGCTCCCGCCAGCCAATCTACATGAGCCTAGCAGGTAAGCCCCACCCCTCGCGGCCACGCCCACGGGACTTGATCACGCCCCCGCGCAACCCCCTTCCGCCCCCCCTGGCGTTCTCTGAACCTTAATTTCCCCTCCCGCTTGTTCCGGGAGTTCCGGGGGGATAAATTTATTAACCCGTTTTACTTACCCAGAAGCTTTTCATTTGCGTTTTATTCATTCAGCCGACTTTGCTACTTTCCTCGGTACAAAGACCCTAGAATAACTACCAATGAATTTAGATCAGGGTGCCCGTCCTTGGTCCTTGGGGACTCACATTCCCTATGCAGACGTGCCGGGCAGGGGATGCTTTGGACCCGTATGATCCTTAGTGAAGCAGTAAGAGCTTGTGGCCAAGGAAGGAAATCATGTCGGCCCCGGAGGCAGTGAGAGCCGCACGGTGGGGCTCTGTGGAGGAAGGGCTTTGGTTAGGGCTTTGGTTGGCACTGTACGTTTATTACCATACTGGGCACAGTGGGCACCTGCCATGGGACACGTCATGGGAGAGCACCATCCCTTTGGAGTAGTTTCTCTTCCCCAGATCTTACAGAGGGGCAAACTTGAGGAAGGTTAATTAAGTGCCCTGCTACAGCCGGAAAGTATTTACCACTTTGTTGTTATTGTTGTTGTTGTTTGTGTGCCACACAACTGTGCTTGGGAGTTCCTAGCTCTCTTCAGGGTGTCTCTCCTGGCAGTGCCCAGGGGACCCGGTGGTACTGGGGTTGGTTGACTGCATACAAGGCAAGTACCTGACCCCTGCACTGTTTCTCCTGCCCATCTCTACATGAGGTTTTCCAATTCTGGCCTGTTTGACTGCAGATTTTTTTTTCTTTGTTATTTTCCCTTTGATTTCCAGAAAGAACAGAAAATTGAGGTCCTGGGAAGATGTGGGCATATTCAAAAACTTGATTTAATCAGGAAGCAAGGTGCATGAAAAAGAACAGTGAGGAATAAATAGTGTTGGAAAGGTCACTTGGGCCTTAAAAGTCAGACTGCAGAATCTGGACTTTCTTTTCTTTTTTTTTTTTGTTTTTTGTTTTGGGGCCATGTCTGGTGATGTTCAGGGGTTGCTTCTGGCTCTGCACTCAGGAATTACTCCTGGCGGTGCTCAGGGAACTATATGGAATGTAGGGATGGAACCCAGGTTGGTTGGGTACAAGGCAAATATGCAACCCACTGTGCTATCATTCCAGCCCCTGGGCTTCCTTTACATAGATGGTAGGCAGACCTGCAAGGGCTCCCAGTGAGTGAGATTCCAGGAAGGGCAACTAGAAACCCAGGGATCCAGAAATGAGTGCTGCACAGATGGGGAATCTGGTGCCTGAGTGCTCCACCCTGTTAGTTTTTCACACTGTCGCACCCTTGGTCCTGATACCAAGATCCCCATGTGGGATGAAAACAAAAAAGAAAAAAATATCATCTACAAACACACAAGAATTTTGATTTTTTTTTTGGCGGGTGGCCACACCCAGCAGTGCATAGGGCTTACTCCTGGCTCTGTGCTCAGGGATCACTCCTGGGAGTGCTCGGGGAACCATGTGGGATGCCAGGGATCGAACTCGGGTTGGCTTCCTGCAAGACAAATGCCCTACCCACTGTAAGATTTCATTGGCTGAATTTTTATATTTCTTTTTTTAGTTTTAGGGCCACACCTGGCAGCGTTCAGGGCTTACTCCTGACTCTGTGCTCCAGGATCACTCCTGGTGGGGTTGAGGGAACTCTGTGTGCTCCCAGGAACTAAACTATGTTCAGCCACATATAAGACAACCATCTTAACCTTTGTACTATCTCCCGCCCAAATATTTTTTGTTGTTGCATGGGGTCACACCTGGCAGTGATCAGGGCTTATACTCTTGGCTCTGCATTGAGAGATTGTTCATGAGATCATGCCAGGTAATGTAAGTGTAAATGTGAGTGCAAGTCAAGTGCCTTACCCACTATACTACGTCTCCAGCCCCCAAAATTTGATATTTCCTTTGGTTCCTACCAGCCTGTGACCCAGTTTGCTTGCTTTGGTGTTTCAGCCCCATTCAAGCTCTCTGTCTCCGTGTACTGAGGTGGTCCCCATCTCATATATTTGTTTCAGGCTGGAGCTGTCGTGATGACTGTAAATATGAGTGCATGTGGGTCACTGTTGGCCTCTACATCCAGGAAGGCCACCAAGTGCCTCAGTTCCATGGCAAGGTGAGTTGTAAGTCAGATGGAACTAGGGTAGGAGCACCAGGGGGTCAGGGGGAGGAAGGTTTTCCTCTGGACCCAGCATCTCAGTAATCGAAATTGTGCAGTGGTGGGTGAGGGCGAGCAGGTGCCTGATTGCAGAGTCCACTGAATTTTATATAATTGCATCAAAACCCTTATGTCCTGCTCGGGGCTTGGAGTGATAAGATCTGGAAAGTTTTGGGGTCTCCTGAGAAAATGGTGCTGGGCTTTGGGGGGAAGTTTGAATGTACACCTCACTACAAGGACACATGCCCAGAACCACTGGGGCTCCCTCTTGCTGGATGAAATATAACACCCCCCAGGGTGCCCAGAGTGTTTGGGTGTTGTTTTGTTTTGGGGGGTCACACCGAGCATTGCTCAGCAGCTACTCCCGGCAGAAGGCTCAGTGTTTGCTCCTGGGGGTGCTCAGGGCAGTGCTGGGGCTTGAACTTGTGCTACCTGCATCATCTCTTTGGGCCCCCAGGGCCTCCTGATCCCATGTGATCTGACTCTAGCCTAGCACGGTCATCCAGAGATCTCATCCCTGGCCTGTGAGGGTCAGCAGAGGCTGGGGGCCGAGGTCAGGGCGGAGGAGAGATCCTGATGTGTGTGATGTGGAGGGCAGGACTGTGCCATCCCTGCCGGCCCACCCAGGACCCTGCAAGGGGCTACCTGCTCAGCCTCAAGTGCAGACTTACGGTGCCAGGCAGGAGTCCTGGGCAGCTCACAGTCCCAGATCCACTCCCAGCACTGCTTACAGTTCCTGGAGCACAGACCCAAGAAAGAAAAGGGAAAAGGACTTCATTTGTAAATCACAGTGTTAATAATTCATAAAATAAATAATAAAAATTAATTTAAAATAAAATCACCAGAATCTCCAGGGGCCAGAGCGGTGGGTTTGCCTTGCATGTGGTCAACCCAGGTTCAATCCCTAGCATCCCATATGTTCTGAGCATGGCCAGGAGGGATCCCTGAACCCAGAGACTGGACTAAACCCTGAGCATCGCCGGGTATGACTCAAAAGCCAAAACAAACAAAACAAACCCCAAAGAAGGACTTAGCGTGAGCTTGGGTAACTCGCAGCGGTGAGGTGGGCCTGTCAGGCAGAGGCCACTGGCCAGCGCTGGCCTTATTCTCAGGCCGCTCCGATTTTTCTCTCCCAGTGGCCCTTCTCCCGGTTCCTGTTCTTCCAAGAGCCGGCCTCCGCCGCTGCCTCCTTCCTCAACGGCCTGGCTAGCCTGGTGATGCTCTGCCATTACCGTGCCTCGGTGCCTGCTGCCTCTCCGATGTACCCCACCTGCGTGGCCTTTGCCTGGGTAGGTGACCGCATGGAACCCCTTCTCTCCAGCCTTAGCCAGGAAGGAGACGCTGAAGTCCCCTTTCTCACGCTGTGGGTGAGCCCAGCTTTCCCGGACTCCATAGCAGCGCCTGGCGGACTGGGTGTGGGTGGGAGCAGGAAGGAGGCAGACGCGGGTCTTGAGGCAGGAAGACTCTCAGACCCAGCTGGGCCATTTTGGGACTCAAGGCGTGGGGAATGGGTCGGCAGCCTCCCCAAACCAGGGTCCTTCCCAAGGTGACCTGACTTAGTCCCGGTACTGACCTGAAGCCATAGTCACCACCACCTGGCATCTGTGGTTCGACTGGGCCCTGGTTTGAACATGCTTGGAGAAGCTGAGATCCGTTCCCGGGGGCTCTAGCCAGAGGACCAGCCTCCAGGGAGTGGAGCTGCAGGCCCCGGTGCCCATCAGGATGGGGCCAGGCTCTGCACGGGGTTGGTGAGGGGGAGGTGGCTCTGGAGGTCTCTAACTCAGATCCCCGGAACCAGAAGGAAACCATCTCCACTCTCTACTGCATGCAAAGCTGCCACATGTGACTGCATCTGGAAGGTGCTGGGAGCCGGGTTTCTGAGTGTGAATCTGGGGGACCAGAGGGGAGGCAGTGTGAGGGGCATTCAGGGACAGCTGTCCTGCAGCAGGGCTGTCAAGGACTTGACTGTGAGCACCCCAGGGCTCAGCGAGGGGGCTCAGAACTGACCCTGTGTAAAAGACACTTGGGCTCGAGCCCAGGAGGGACTCTGGGGCTGTGGGGACTGGTTGCTGGTTTGTGTTCCGGTTTGGGGGCCACACCTGGTGGTGCTCAGGGATGACTCCTGGTGGGGCTGGGGGGCATTGTTTACTGGAGTGTCAGGGTTGGAACCCGGGTTGACTGTGTGCAAGGCCAGTGTCCTACCCGCTGGGCTGTCTCTCTGCCCCTTTACTGTTTGTCAAGCATTCACTGCGGGGAGACAAGTGGAAGTTGGCACTTCCATGCCCCCAGAGCTAAAGCAGTGGGGGTGCAGGGCTGGCTTGCATGGGAGCAGGATGCAGACAGGTGAGAGAGATGGCAGAGGCCTCGGGCTACAGGTTTCCCAAGTGAGAGTCCGAGAGGGAACAGCAGCCCAACTGACTGTGGTGTGGAGGGAGGGAAGGAGGAGCCGAGGGCGGGGGGGAGGGGGCGGGGGGGGTGCTGAGTGCCAAGCTAGGGGACAGGGACCCTTGTGTGGGCAGGAGCGCACCTGGCCCAGGCCTGGGAGTGACAGAGCCGTCGCTTTCTGCTTTTCCCTCAGAGAAAAGCAGGAAGAGCAGAGGAAGTGGGAAGGTGCCCCTGCCCCCATCCAGCGTTGTTTCCAGGGACACTGACCCCGCAGCACCCAGGCCCTGGCACAGGGCACAGACAGCCAAGCCCGAGAAGTTAGCACCGGGTCTTGTCTCCCAGCCAGAGACCAGCAGGCACCTCCTTCTTGCTCTGCTCACCACTGAGGCATGGGCCTGGTGCTCCCTGGCATCTGCAGTCTCTTCATGCAGGCAGTGGAGGCTGGGAGGGCAGAGATATGTGGGTGCCTGAGTATTTGGGAACCCCACCATCATGGAGTTGGGGGCTGGGACACCAGAAAGCCCTTGAAGCCTCCTTAATGCCACCTGCCTTCATGATCCAATTTGCATTCACACTTGAGGTGTAGTCACGTGATTGTGTACGTGTGTATGTACATGTGTGTGCATGTATGTTTGTGTGCGTGTGTGCATGTATGAGCTCCTATGTGTGCATATATGCATTCATGTGTATGCATGTGTACATTTGTGTGTGTGCATGTGTGCATTCATGTGTATGCGTGTGTACATTAGTGTGTATGTGTTTATGTGTATTCATGTGTATGCTTGTGTGTGCATGTGTATTTGTATGTGTATTTATGTGTATTCATGTGTGTGTATGTGCATTTATGTGTATGCATGTGTGTGCATATGTATGTGTGCTTGTGTATCTATGTATGTGCATTTATGTGTATGAGTGTGTGTGTGTGCGTATATGTATTTATGTGTATGCTTGTGTGAATTTATGTGTATGTGTGTGTGTGTGTGTGTGCTCGTGGGTGTGCACATGACCTTGATGGAAGGTGTGGCTGTGGACTCTGCCCTGGGCTGTGTCTTTTGGAGCTAGTGGGGCTCCCAGCTTCTGTTGGGGTGGGGCGGGAAGGTCCCTGAGCTGCCCCAGGTTAAGTCTGGGTGTCTCTATCCCTTACCCAGGGAACTGGGGATGCCCTCCCCCAGCAGCACTCCTGGAACTCCCGACTGGATGTGTAACCCAGGTCGGGTGGCAGCAGGCTCGGGAGGGGGCTGCAGGTCAGCCCACCGTGGGCCAGGCCTTGGCGGTTGGAGCTGGCCTCCCCTGCTCTCTGTCAGGGCAGCTTCCAAATCAGGAAAGTTCCAGGAGGTAGAGGTGAGAGGGTGAGGGGGCCAGGAACACCCAGGCCGAGTCTGCACGTGTGTCTGGAGGAAGGGGCTGAGGCAGAGCTGCAGGCACGAGGGGAGCAAAGGCCAGACTCTGGGAAGATGCCCAGCCCCGCCAGGCTGCCGGCCCCGGAATCACTCCCTGTGTCCTTTGGGCTTTTGTTCTGGTGTTGGTGAGTTCCAGTCCCAGTGGCCCTCAGGGTTGTCCCTGGCAGGGCATGGAGGACCCTTCAGTGCTGGGGATTGAATCCAGGTCTCCTGCACATGAAGCCTGAGCTCAGCCACCGAGCTTTCTCGTCAGTCCCATCCCTCCTTCCTTCCTTCGCCCTCTCTCTCTCTCTCTCTCTCTCTCTCTCTCTGGGTTTATTTTGATGCCACACACAATATTCAGGACTTACTCCTGGCTCTGCCCTCAGGTATTACTACTAACAGTGCTCAGGGGACCATATGGAAAGACAGGGATCGAACCTAGGTTGGCCGCGTGCAAGGCAAACACCCTACCTGCTGTACTATCACTCCAGCCCCTGCTTCTGTTTTCTTTCTTTTCTCTCTTTTCTATCTTTCTTCTTTCTTTCTCTCTTTCTCTCTTTCTTTCTTTCAGGGGGGTGGGGCACACCCATGTGATGCTCAGGGATTACTCCTGACTGATGCTCAGAGATCCCTCCAAGCAGCACTTGGGGGACCATATGTGGGCTGGTTGTCAAACCTGAGGCAGCTGTATGCCAGGCAATGCCCTCCCCATCTCTCTGGCCCCCAGCACTCCTTCTCCATGATACAGAGAACGCTCCCCCCCCACATGCGCATCCACCGCACCCCGCTTCTCTGGGAAGGCACATGTGTCCCCATGAGGGAGGCAGGCGGTGGCTTGTGGCCTCTGGGCGGGCCCAGGACCAGGCGGCTCATACTTAACATTCTGCCTCCCGCACTTCTGAGACGCCGAGTTATTTAAAGGCCCACTTGTCCCCACCGCCGTGGTGTCAGTGACAGCCCCAAGCCCCGGGGCTCAGCGCCGGGGTCGGATTCCTGACAGATCTGGCTCACTGGCATCCGCCCAGTTTCACGGCTGTGATATTTTGGTCTCAATTTTCTTATTTTCCAACAGGCTGAAGCAGCCTCTGCTCTCCCTCCGCCCATCCTTCCCGGCCTCCTCCCTCCCACCCCAGCCCTGCCCTCGGGGTCTGCTCCACGTTCTTGGTGCCTGGTTTGTGCTCTTCACCCTCCTGATCCTCTCTGCTCACCCCCCATGTCCTGCTCTGCCTGGCTCAGGGGTCTCAGGAGTCCGGGAGCAGCCGGCACCTGCATCCCAGGGTCTGTACCCTCTTTCACATCCTCTGGCCCTGGAGCTCAAGCCTTTCTTTCTTTCTTTCTTTCTTTCTTTCTTTCTTTCTTTCTCTCTCTCTCTCTCTCTCTCTCTCTCTCTCTCTCTCTCTCTCTCTCTCTCTCTCTTCCTTTCTTGGTTTGGGGCCACACCTAGCAATGCTCAGAGCTTACTCCTGGCTCTGCACTTGGGATCACTACTAGGGCTCAGAGGACCATATGGGGATGCCAGGGATGAAACCCAGGTCAACCCTGTAAGGCAGGCGCCCCCTGCACTGTCTGTCCTCTCTCTCTCCCTCTCTCGTTCTCCCTATCTCCCTCTCTCTCTCCCCTCTTCTTCCTCTCCCTCTCCCTGTCTCTCTCTTTCCCTCTCTCTCCCTCTCCCTGTCTGTTTTACTCTCTTCCCCCTCTCTCTCACTGTCTCCCTGTCTCTCCCTCTGTCTCTCTCCTCTTCTCTCTCTCTCTCTCTCTCTCTCTCTCTCTCTCTCCCCCTCCCTCCCTCCCTCCCTCCCATCCCTGCAGGGCTCAAGCCTCAATGCAGTTGAGAGAGCAGAGAAGTGGCTCCTTAGTCTGGGGGGGCGTGGGGGGCAGTGGTGAGGGCCATGAAGGGGGTGTGACCAGTTCCTGCTGGATTGGGTCATGCCTGAGTGGATGGCAGGAGGGGCTGGGAAACAAGCGGACCCCTTGGTTGCTGCTCTTGAGCCGCTGATCAAAGCTGTGTGTGAGGCTGAGGCCTCTGAGGGGACGCTGGCAGGCAGGAGAGAAGGGGGTGAGGCTGGAGCCCCGAGGCCGGGCAGGGGCCAGGGCATTGGTCCGTTTCTTCTGCCTGGTGCAGCAGACCCTGGGTCTCACCCCCCCAGTGGGGCTGGCCTGATGTGGGCGGAGGGCAACCAGGAAGCTGCTATGTGCGGGCCCCTCCTCGGCGCCCCACAGTCTGCACACACCCTCCTCACCCCCCTTTTGTGCAGGGTGCACCGTGAACCCCATTTTATAAGCTTAGAGGCACCATCAGTTGCTCCAGAACCCACAGCTCTGCAGGGGTCACATCATGCCTTCTGGAACCGGGGTCCGGCCCTCTGCCCCATGCAACCTGGTGCTGGGGGTCCCTCGAGTGTGGAGCCCTGCCCTTCTTTGCCTGGGCGTCCTTGGCCTGCAGGGAGTAGGGGACAGACATGGGCTGTGCTGGATGGGCACAGGTTGGGGGACCAGCAGCTCCTGTTTACCCTGGCCTGGGCACTCTGGGGTACGTGAGACTCTGTCCCCACCAAATGGGGGTTCCCGTTTTCCCAGGAGAGCACTGAGACCCAGCAAGGCTGAGTGACTTGCCCAAGGCCACGCAGGAGCTGAGAACCAGGATGAGAGCCTGGAGTCCGGCCCTTTGCCTGCCTTCCCTCTGTGCTCCTTGCTCCGTGCTCCCCTGGGGCCTCCCAAGAAGTGCTCAGAGCGCCCAGGGGCTGCTTGAATGCTGGGGATGGAACTCGGAGCCCCCGGGGATGCCAGGCGTACACTGCAGCCCCTGGCGTCTCTCCCCCCGGAACGATAAGGAAGGGGTCAGGAGAGGAGCCCCTGACACACACCAGGAGGGGACTCTCCCAGGAGAGGGGACGCCCCGGGGACCAAGCCAGGCCTCACTGGATCTGTGTGGAAGGTGCCAGGGAGCGGGTTGGCGGACACTCCGCAGCCCCACCCCCACCCGTGTCTTCAAACCCTGACCCTGTGCACACACACCCCCTCCCCCAGGCAGGGGTCCAACGGCCACTTAGCTCAGTCCTCTCGTCACCTCCCCCTTCCTGCAGTGGGTGACAAGGACGCCTGGCCGGCTGCCCAGTCCTGCTGCCTCCTACCCACCAACCCCACCCCCCCACCTCGCCCAGCCTCCCTCTCTGGGCTCCAGCCTCGCGGGCGTGGAAGGAGGGGCTGTGCCAAGTGCGTGCTCACGACCAACGAGGCAGCGCCTGGGAAGGATTAGGGTCACAAACATGCCCCCAGCACTTTTCCGGAAGCACTTGGGTGGAGAAGGGCCCGGCCTTTGCCCAGGGCACGAGGAGCAAGACACAGCAAGACATGGCCTCAGACCCAGACCTGGGAGGTTCCAGACCCTTCCAGGGTCTCTGGCTGGGCAGACCCCGCCCCACCCTCCCTGCTCCCGAGCCGTGTCCACCCACCGGAGCCACCGACCTGCCCCCGGTGCAGCAGCTCCCTGGATGGGGCCTCTGCTGGCTCTGGCCTTTGTCCCTCTCCTGCACGTTTCTCCCCGGCCTCCTGGGCGTGCCAGGCTGGGCCGTCTGCCTCCCGACCGGCTCTTTCTTGCTGTGACCCGCTGTTCTCGTTTCCCACTGTCTGTACCACCCCCCCCCCCCCCTGCTTTCAGTCATCTAGGCTGCTGTCATGCAGGCCCTGAAAATCAGGGGCCCTTGACCTCCATGGGATCTGGGTCCCCTTTGCAGCAGGGTGAGGAGTGGAGGTTCTCCCCAAGGTTCATGTCCAGGAACAAGGCCCAGAAGCCCCCCGGCCCCTGGCACCCCCAGCCCTGCTCCTCCTGGCCACGGGTTGGGGCTGGGCCCACCGCCACCTCCGCACACTCCAGCACTCCGACTCTATCGCCCTCCCCAGCTGGCTCCGAGCTGGCTCACAGCCCCAGGAGGCTGAGGTCACCGACTCCCCCGTGGGGTGGGGCCACCATCACCTGCTGGCTGAGGGAGGAGGTGAGCCCCCCCTCAGCCCCCCACATCCCCAGGGCTGTTGTCTTAGAGATTGAGTAACCTTGGAACTCAGCTCTGCCGGAACTGGTTCCCAGGCCAGGCCGGAACTTGAGGAGGCGGCAGCCCCAGCCCCAGGGGTTTGGGGAGCCCGCTCTGAGCAGCCAGGACAGGATTTGGGGTGCAGGGACACAGTTTGAGGCTGTGTTCAGCAGTCTCGAGGAGCAAAAAGCATAGAAGTGACTGCTCACTGGGGCTAATGGGGGACAGGCCACCCACCAGCCCCACTCTGCCCCATCCCCCTAGGTCTCCCTCAATGCTTGGTTCTGGTCCACAGTCTTCCACACCCGGGACACCGAGCTCACCGAGGTGAGTGGGGCCCCGGACCCCTCCGGGGAGCACTGCTCCAAGTCTGCATCTGCTCCCAGGCGTGGCCCTGTGGGAGGGTGGCAGTAGCGTGACAAAGGCTCTTTGTTCTCTTGCCACAGCCACACACTGCCAGGCAAGTAAGTGCCGGGCCCCTCAAGCTGCATCCCTGCGCCCCCAGGACCGGCTCCTTTTAGGGGATGGGGCCCAGAGAGTGCTCAGAGGGGCCAGAGGCTGTCAAGCAGGGGTGTGTGCCCCTCCCCAGCCCTGCTGGCTCTCTCTGCCTGCCGGGGTGCCTTGCCCAGGATCCCCTGCCAGGGCAGGGCAGCCCGGCTCCCCTGGGACGAAAGGCCAGGTTGCCCTCTGAATTCTGTGCCCTGTTCGGACACCCCGACTTGAGCTGCACCTCTCTCCATGTCCCCAAAGCCTTGCTGCTGAACCCCTCTAATTTTTTGGTTTGTTTTATTTTCTTTTTTTTGGGGGGGTGGGCATACCTGGAGGTGTTCAGGGGTCCTTGTGGTGTGGATGGTGGGACTGGGTGACAGCCAGCACTCAAGTCTCTGAGCCATCTCTCCAGCCCCGAGCTGTGTCCCCCGATAGTACTAGGTCGAAGGGGTAGAGACATAGGGCCCCTGATCGTAGGCCTGGGACCCCCATCTGACCCCCTTCCAGACCCTCCCTGTACCCTGGCCCCGGGCTCTGCCCTCACACTACCCCTCCCCCACCCTCCTGACTGCAGAAAATGGACTACTTCTGCGCCTCCACTGTCATTCTGCACTCCATCTACCTGTGCTGCGTCAGGTGAGCTGGTCCCTGGGTCCCTTACCCTGGGGGTGGACAGCCAGTGTGCTCAGGGAATGGCCCAGGCAGTGGGAAGAGGGACTGCTGCTCCCATGCCACCGCCTCCTCCTGACCACGCTGACCACCGGCGCAGGACCGTGGGCTTGCAGTGGCCTGCGGTGGCCAGATTCTTCCGCGCCTTCCTGCTGCTCCTGCTGACCGCGCATGTCTCTTACCTGGGCCTCGTGCGCTTTGACTACGGTTACAACCTGGCGGCCAACGTGGCCATCGGTGAGGCTGCTGTGGGCTGCGGTGGGGGGGGGGGGGAGTGGGATGATATCCCGGGGGTCTGGCTGGGAGGAGGGGGGCTGGGGGAACTGGGGGCGGGGTGCAGAGGACCAGAGAGTGAGTCTCGTCCGCTCCTCCCCCCACCCCTCCCCCTGTATCCGGTCGGCACCCAGGCCTGGTGAACATGATGTGGTGGCTGAGCTGGGGCCTGTGGAACTGGCGTGCGCTTCCGCATGCCCGCAAGTGTGTGGCCGTGGCACTGCTGCTGCAGGCGCTGGCGCTGCTCGAGCTGCTGGACTTCCCGCCGCTCTTCTGGGTCCTGGACGCCCACGCCATCTGGCACCTCAGCACCGTCCCCGTGCATGTCCTCTTCTTCAGGTGCCCAGACCGCCCTGCCCCGTGCTCTCGCCTCGCCTGTCCCCCAAACCCCCCCACCCCGCCCCGCCCCGCCCCGCCCCTCCTCGCCGCCCCCTCCCCAGGCCACGCCCCAGCGGACCTTCTCCCCACAGCTTTCTGGAAGACGACAGCCTGTACCTGCTGAAGGAGCTGGAGGCCAAGTTCAAGCTGGACTGAAGATCCTGGTGGCGGACCTGCCCCCAGGGGATTCATGACCTCTCCCTGCCAGCTCCCCTTCTCCCCCAAGTCTTGAAAATGAGTTCCCTTTTTTTCACTTTTGCATCTGGAACATGGACAGGAGGGTGGGGGTCCAGCATCATGGAACCTGATCGTGCACACCCTGGCTCTCACAGGTCTTGGGGGCCCTGGGAGCCTGACATGGACCCCTGGGATGAGAGAATGAGCTGGTGGGGGCGGCTCTGCTCTTCCTCAGCCTCCTGCTCCCAGCCTGGCATCCTGGAGGCACCCCAAGCACTTTGTGCGGCTGGGCCGCTGGGGAGATTGTGGGGTCAGTGACCCTCCTCCGTGGCACCAGCAGGTGGCAGTAGACAGCTGCCCAAGTTTCTAGAGCTCACGTACACACAAACACCATGGCATCATGAGGGGCCATGCTACACCCAAGGTGGGTTTCACCCAGACTCTTGCTCCGGAATGCACCCTCGGAGGCCTCCCACAAACCCCATCAGGGCCAGGACTCCCGAGACCGTAGTCGCACTGACCCCTGTGCTGGGGTCTGGGGTGAGGACAAGGCCAGGTCCTGAGGTGACCAGACGGGGGTGCCCCAGGCTGGAGGGTGGGTGTGAGTGCTCTTGGTCTTGTGACGGGAACAGATGTCAGATGAGAGCGCTGCGCGGGGGGAGGGGGGCCTAGGTCGTGAGCAGTAACTGCTTATTGATTCATTGAGCCTATTGACCTTGCACGAGAGCCCAGAGATGTGACTGGCCGGCCTGGTGCCTGGTGTCCAGCATGCCTGTGGGCAGGGACTGCAGGTCCAGTGTGCACCCCCTTCCATTGCAAACCCCCTGGCCCCTACCTACAACTTATGTTGCCCTCAGGAACCAGCCCCTGTTGAGGCTGGGGATGGGGGAGAGGAGAGTGAGGGTCCTCCATTTCCCCCCCAGCCTGCGTCCCCTACCCAGACACGCTCCTACCCCTCCCCATGTCCTGCATGTAAGGCCCTTTGCCTCAGCTGCACCTCAGGTTGGGGATTCGCAGAGGTCAATCTGCTTGGGCGGAGCTTGTGGTTGGCTTCTGGCCTCCCCAGAGGCAAGTGGGGTTCATACCTCCTGTCCTGGTGAAGGTAACCCCTGAGCACATTCTTGCACTTCCCCCCAGGACAGCACTGAAACCCCTCCAGGAAGCCTCAAGGGGCGCTATGGGGGGGAACTCCTCCGTCCTCAGGGATTTGGGTGGCCTCTTCTTTTGATACGGAGAACTTTTTTTGGGGGGGGAGGGTAGCAGGGAACTTCTTAATAAACCATTCTCAACCTCTCCTTGCTCAGTTCCTGTGTCGGAGGGGTGCTGGAGGAAGAGATTGAGCTGGTGGTCAGCAGAGATGAGGGGTCCCTAGGCCTGTGGGTCCAAGTCCATCCAGGCTTCTGTGGGGGGTTACGGCAAGGGACGCAGCTCTGCCACCTCACCCTTTCCGGGTCCCTGCACAATCTCCCAGTCTGCTATCTGAACTGTGTGCAGTATTTTGGGGTGTAGGGGAGTTTTCCCCAGCGATGTTCAGGGGCCCCTCCCAGAGATTCTCAACCTAGCAGTGCGGACCTGAAGGTTTGAGACTCTGGCCTGGTGGTGCTGGGAGCCACTAGGCTCCAATCTGTTAACCTTCCTTCTGACTTCCGCTGGCAAACAAGATAGCAGCTCACTGCAGAGGGTGAGGGCCCAGAGGGCTCGCTGCCTGGCACTGCCTCTGCTGCCTGAGCACGGACCCTCCCCTGCCTTAGCTGGGAAGGAATAAGCAGGACAGAGGCTGTCCCCATGGAAGTTTCTGGAAAAAGGGAAGGGCAGGTGGCTCCCATACCCATCAGACACACAAGAATACGCTGGGTGCTGGGTCCCAGGGTAGCCCCAGACAAGCCTCACAGCTGCAGAGCCTTATCTCTTTATTAGGTGCACCGGGGACCTTTGTGGGGGGAGGGGGAGAGGAGAGGAGGTGGGGACAGTCTCCAGGCTCGGAGCGCAACATGCTCACACCCCCACCCCTTTCTGGGCCCAGGCGAAGAAGATGCCCTTGACGTCATCCACGCCCGTACGGAGGTGGGCGGGCATGACGTAAGTGCGCAGGTCCCGCACAGCATAGCCGCTGTGCCCCAACGCCGCCCGGACCTCCTCCTCACCCACCGGCACCACCGTAAGCCTGGCCTCCCCTGCGAGGTACCACGACTCCTCCAGGCCCCCGATGAGCAGGAGGTGCCCCCCAGGCTTCAGCAGTGTGGTGATGTGGTCCAGGGCCCGCTGGAAGCTGGCAAGGTCCGGACTCACAGCCTCCAGGCAGAAGGTAGAGACCAGGGCGTCGGCGGGCAGGGGCGCCCCGTGCCCTGCGCCCAGGGGCTGCGGCTGGTGCACATCGATGGGCAGGACCCGCTTGACGCGGGCTCGGAGCTGGCGCTCCTTCTCCTGCCAGGACTCACTGTGGGCAGCAAAAGGCAGGCAACGCTCAGGAGGGCGCCGGAGTGCCCAGCCCCCCCCCCCCCCAGGCCACCCCCGTGGCCCTTACCCCTTGGCCTCGATGAGGCAGACGTGCTGGCTGTAGGCGCTCCAGTCGAAGGCGCCCGGCTCGTCCCGCAGCCAGAGTCCCAGCTCACGGCGGTTCACCTCCAGGAAGTCGGTCATGGTGATGTCCTCAAAGTGGGCGCAGGCGCTGAGCAGCTGGTAGACGGTGGGGCCCGAGCCAATGTCGATGAGAGTGCGTCCAGACACCTCACCTGAGGACGCAGACGAAGGGGGTCCTCGTGCCAGCCTCAGGCACACCTCCCTTCCTCGCGAGCCCCTCCCTCGCCCTGGGCCTCTCCAGCTGGAAAAAGCTTGATTAGCTCTGGAGTTAGACCCCCAGAGGCCGAGGAATTGGGAAGCCCTGGGGAATCCGGGCAGCTCTGTCCTCCCAGGTGACCTCCCTTCCCACCCCTGCCAATCCCTGCCCCATCTCTTCAAGAAGAGCTCAGCGGGGACTGGAGCGAAAGCACAGAGGTCAGGGCATTTGCCTTGCACGCAGCCGACCCCAGGAGTTCAACTCCCAGCATCCCATGTCGTCGCCCCAGCACCGCTAGGGGTAGTTCCTGAGTGCAGAGCCAGAAGCAACCCCTGAGCATCGCTGGGTGTCACCCAAAAAGCAAAAAAAAAAAAAAAAAACCAAAAAAAAAAACCACCAAAAAATAAACAAACAAACCTCAGCCTCAAAGCACCCCAAGTTCCAACCTGGGCGTTGCCTCTCGACCCTCCCCTGCAACCAAAAACCCTCTGTTCCCTTTCCTGCCTCCTGGATCTGAGGATTCTTTGCGGCGCCCTGCCCGGCTCCCCTCTGCCCGCGTCCCGCGCTCACCCGTGGCGAAAGTCTGTGCCAAGCAGCGCAGCTTCCAGGGCCCGACGCCGTCGGGGTTGCTGAGGTCCCCGCGGGGCGGCGCGTAGTTGTTGCGCAGGTAGGCGAGCGGCTCGAAGCGCTGGTAGGCCGAGGCCACGGCCGCGCGGCCCGGGTCCACGTCGGGGGCCGCGCCCGCTGCGTCTCTGGGCTGGGTCGCGCTCATGCTGCCGCTGCCGCTGCCGCCGCGTCCTGCCCGCGCTGGGCCGGCAGCCCCTTTATCTGGCCACGGACCCCCCACCCCGAGCCCTCCGAGCGCGGGGGCGGCCGCTGAGCGATGAGTCGCCCGCGGCCCCACGCGCTGCGCTGTGTCTGCTGTGACCCCATCCATCTCCTTTAGCGTCGGGGCCGCAGACTTGCTGGGGGGCGTGGGGGCGGCCACTGGGCCATCTGCACCAGCGCCCTCCTCCCGCCTCTGCCTCACCTGCCCACGCCCACGTGGGCCGCCCCACCCGCTTCCTTCCCCCCAGCAGCCTTCAGATGGCCCCCCACTCCTTGTCCCCTTCCTTCGCTCTTCCCGGCACCTCGATTCTTCTCCCTAGCCCTTTCCCCAACTCCCTCTCCGTCGTGCCCCCCCACCCGTGCTCCCCTTCTTCTGACACCCCTTTTCCAGCACCCATTCTCCCGCCTTCCTGGGAAGGACGCCCCATCCCTGTTCTCTGCCCCTCCCCAACTGCGTCCTCCATCACCCCCACCCCAGCTCCAGAAAGGACAGTCCGTTCCGGCCTAGCTGCGGTTGCCCCAGAACAGGCCTCCGGCCCCTCCTGTCCGATGGCAGCAGCGATAGGGGGCTAATGCACTTAGCAGGAGGGACGGGTCTCCCCTGAGGGCTGCCGGGGCTCAGAATGTGCCCGCCACGTCGGGCTGGGTGGGGGCCTGGTTCTGCGGGAGCACGGTGAGCTGGAAGGGGTTGGGCCTGTGGCTGCACCTCACCAGCGGAGGGGGGTGGAGCGCAGTCTGGGTCTGTGAGAGCCAAGGGATTCTCCAGCCCACCCCCTCTGGGAGCTCCAGGTGCCCTCTGTCCAGATGCAGGGTTTCGTCACACCCCCAAATTGGAGCCAATATCGCAGGGGTGTCTGCGTGCTCTTCCTGGAGGGGGCCCCTCTGCCTCCTCGGCCTCTCCTCCCCCACTCTGTCTGTCCCCAGAGGAAAGAGTCTCCTCCGGCCAAGGCCAGGTTGGGACATGAGTCACCACAACAGCTGCAGGGGTCACAGACAGGAACCTGACCCCCTCAGAGGGCGGCTGGCTCAGGACGGATTCTCTGGGGTTCAGACTGAGGGAGGTCAGTCTGGGGGGCGGGGTGGTCACTAGATCTACACACGCCCAAGGCAGCTGGAATAGTCCTGGTGCCAGCCCCTCTACCTTCCGCAGGAGATTAAAGCAGCCTCTGCTGCCAGCTGGCCTGTAGGGTGCTGCCCCGTGCCAGGGCTGCACACAGGGTAGGCCTGGACCGCACTCAGGGCACAGAAGGGACACTGGACAGCCACCGTCCCCCTGCGTGGGAGAACCTGCTCTGCTGCCATGTTTAGCTCAGATTCAGGACCATTGTCAGAAGGGACCATGGGGGGACACCCACCAGCGGCCTGGCACCCCACAACCACAGGAAAGAGATGGAGCTGGAACAGGACTGTTTATTGCAGCGCTAACAGCGGGGGTTGGGGGCCCCACCCCGCCTCTGCCCTCTCCACGTCTCCCTCCCTCCCTCTTTCTTCAGACTGTTCCAAGCGTCCTTCCCAGCACATTCCACACGTTTCCTCATCTCTCTCTGAAGCTGGAATCAGGGTCACCTTCTCATCACCCTTGTGTCCCCTCTCCATACGTAGTCCGTCTGTGCCTTCTCCTGGGGCCAGGGTGGCTCAGCTGTGCCAGCCCCAGCTCTCCACCCCCTCGCTCCGGGTGCTCAGAGGACCTCAGCATCCTGGCCTCTGGCTCCCTCCTTCCCCAGCCCCCAACTCAGCAAACTACAAAGCACCCACGGCCAGAGCTCCCGTCCATGGTCCTAGCCAGGATGGGCTGGGCACTGGCCGCATGCAGCAGAGCCGAGTCCCAGGGGTCTCAGCCCCTCTGGGCTTCCTGGGACATGGAGCGGGATAGGGAGCGGTGGAGGGCCCCCGGCTTGCTGACAGACACCACGGGAGGCAGGTGCTTGGTGATCTCGGCCACGTCCTGGCGCTCGGCACTCTGGCCGCCCAGGGCTGCCTCCAGCGCCAGCATCTCCCGCAGCTGGAGGGGGGTGTCCTCGCGCTCTTCCTTGGCGCCCAGCTTGGTGGGGGTGAAGATGGGCAGCGGCAGCACCCGCTGGTAGGGCACCAGGTACTCCTGCAGCCCACGGCCCAGGAAGCCCATCCGCATCACCAGCCAGGGCGAGCACTGCACCAACGCCTGGCACTGCCCCTGCCGGTGGTAGGTCTCCCGGCGCACGGCGTCCTCCTCATGCAGGGAGCAGCTGGGGAGGAGAGGCCAGAGCTGAGCCGGGGAGCCCGCGCCCCGACCAGAACCTGCCTCTGGACCCTGCAGCTCCACTACTCACCCCTCCTCGGGCCGTGTAGAGAGTGTCAGGTCCTTCCACTCGGCCCAGAAGGCCTCCCTGCGCTCCCGGTTCTCCTCGGACACTCGGCAACTCAGCTCCGAGGCGGCCATGGTCTCTCTCGCCCGCTCGACTCCTCCAGGCCCTTTAAATAGCCCCCCTCCAGGGGCTATTTTCAGTCCCTCTGGCGTCAGAGGCTGTAAGCAGAGCCGGACTCTCTGATGGGGGACTGGGCCGTGGGGGTGGTCCCTGAATTCCAGCTGTGCTCAGGTTCAGGTCACAGGTTGGCTTCAAGAGTGATCCAGACACGCCCCTGGGGGCAAGGGTCCTCACAGCAACACCTCCAGGTGTCTGGCACCCGGCAGGCCCTGCCTGACACCAGGCACATGCCCAGCCTCGTGCCACCCTGGTCCTGGCCCTCTGCCCCAGCCATTCCTTACCCGTGGAAGGACAGCGCTTGGTCTGTAAACAGAAGCCGCAGGAACCCAAGCCCCTTCGGGCTCCGTTGCAGGCCGCAGGGATGCCGCCTCTACTCTCCTCTGCGCTAGGCACAAGGGCAAGCCCCCGTGCAGCCCCCCCCGCAGAAAGGATGGGGCAAATACATCTGTTCTAGAAGGACCAGCCTGGAGCTAGGGGCCAGCCGGGCGCGGGGATGCTGACTCCGGCCAGGGACCCTGGCAGGGCGAGGGGACGCTGATGTGGACTCTGGCCCAGCTCTGCCTGGTGCTCCTTTCCCATAGCTGGGTTCCAGAGAAGTGTTCTCCCATGGAAGGCCAGTCAGGCATGAGGGCCCCAGCTTCCCCCCGGGCCCCCGGGAAATGGAGATGAGAGGCAGGGCCCCGGGAGTGAGTCATGGTGGCCCTGCCCCACCCGGCCTCCAGCAGGCCGCTGGCCCTGAGAGGATAACCAGAAGAGCTCCGGGGATGGGAAACGGGGCTCAGAGATGTGGGTGTGCCCAGGGCACGACCCCTAGAACACCCCTACCCTTTCTGGGGTACCCTAAGTGCATGGGGCAAGAGCCGGAGTGATAGTGGGTAGGGAGCTTGTCTTGCACACGGCCGACCCAGGTTTGATCCCCGGCATCCCGTATGGTCCTCTGAGCACCATTAGGAGTAATTCCTGAGTGCAGAGCCAGGAGTAACCTCTGAGCATGCCGGGAGTGATACAAACCCCAGAATAGTAAAGAAATAAATGAAACTAAGTGCACCGGGGAAAGATGATGCCTGCCCTGTATCTGACCCTCTGTGCTCTGGGTCCCTGGGCCTGGGCACCTTGTCAAGGCCTCGGCCTGCTCTGGCCATGGCAGATGCTGGCTTAAGTCCCTGACCCGATCAGCCCCCTTTGGGGCCTGACCAGTCCTTTGTCCAACTGGACCAGCCCCTGGACTGCGCAATAGCTCAGAGGTTAGAGCACACACCTGGCCTGCACCCCGGGTTCAATGCGTGGCACTGCTGAGAGTGGACCTGTCCAAGAACAGAATCTGAAGCCCAGCAAGGCCAGGGACCCCAGGCTTGCAGGACTTTTGGGGAGACCCACAGTGCGCAGCTCTTTGGCCCGAAGGGGCATGAGAGGGTGCTGGAGGCCCCTTCATTCCCCTCTGCCCCATGGGGTGCCGTCCTTCCCCCCAAGAGGCAAGACAGGTGGGGCCACTTTTCTGTGAGTTCATTTTTTTTAATTGGCTCAAATTACAAAGGTCCCCCTGGGGCCCTGGGGCAGGGAGAAGCTGGGTGCAGCAGTTTCCTGCCAGCCCCAGCCCCCAGCCTCTTCCCCAGCAAGGGCATGTGGGAAAAGGTCCCGGACCCCTGATGTCTAAAAAATGATGAGAGCAGGTGAATGAAGCGTCTCTGGTGCCCTCACCAGAGACCAGCGGGCCTGCCTGGGCCCCGCCCGCCCCCAAGTCTCAGGCTCCCGTTCCAGACGGGCCCGAGGCTGGTCAGGGGCAGCGGGTCTCCAGGAGGCAGGCACTGTGGGCGCTGCAGCAGGACAGAGCCCTCCCTGGCCGGGCCCCAGGGCACACAGGCCGCCAGGCGGAGAGGCCGCTCCCTCCCCAGTCAGGCCAGGCCCGCTGTGGCAGGCAGCAGACGCCCAGCTAGCTCTGCTCGACCTCGAGGCTGCGGCAACAGGACCCTGGCCTGCAGGGTGGCGAGGGGCGCGCTCACGCCCGGGCCCCCAGCTCGCTGATGCGCTGCCGCAGGTGAAAGGCGAATTCGAACATGGTGGCAGCGAGGCTCTGGTGGATGAGGTACCGGGGCAGGCGGCCCTGGGGGAGAAGGGAGAGATGCCAGGGGTCCTGCCACCAGCAGGGGGACCCTCCACCCAGAATGCAGCCATGGCCAGCCCCACTCCCTTGGTGGGAAGAACCCACTGCTGGTATCTAGGGCCTGGCGCCAGCCAGCCAGACCCTCGAGGGGCCGGATCTGCAGCCAGCCACCCCTTGGGGGCCTTCCGAGCCAGAGGTAGGAGACAGGGCAGGGGACCCAGAGATGGCTCAGAGGGCTCGAGCACCAGTTCTGCATGTGGCTGCCCTGGATCTGGTCCCCGGCACTACTTGGTCCCCTGAGCACCACTGGGAGTGGCCCCAAAACCCACAACTCAAAGGAGCAAGTTCAGGGAGGAGCCTGGGTGATGCTGGGTGGGGAGAGCAAGGAGGGGCGGGGGCTGGGTCGCCCACCTTGAGGTCTGTGTTCAGGATCCAGATGAAGGTGCACACCCGGGGGTTGTTGGCCGACTTGAGCACGACAAAGCCTCCAGGACCGTTCTCGCCCCTGAGTGGAGAGAGCATTGGGGACAGGGTCCCAGAAGTGCCCCCAACTTGGCACTTTGGCTCAAGTCCCCAGGGGTTGGGACCCCCCACTTTCCCAGAGGGCACAAGGTGAGATCCACTCTGGAGGTCGAGCCGGGAAGGCCCTGTGGGCAGCCCCCCTGCGCCTACTCCCTGGCGAGGAAGCTGCAGAGTGGACCCTGCCTGCTTCCCAGAGTGGCAGGCTGGGAGGCAGGTAAAGGGCATCCCACCTTTCCCTCAGGAGACTTCTCAGTGTCGGGGGGAAGGCAGGGCAGGGCGGGACAGGGAGAGGAGGATGAAGGTAGGGCCCCAGGACTGCACACACCGTGGGCTCACCTAACGTATTTGTGCGTTGGGGGCTTGGCGCCGTGGGTGGTGGCAATGCCCGACGACAGATACCGGTCTCGGCGCCGCTCAATGCGGCGGACATTCACGAAGTCCCTAGGGATGGGGTCAGATGAGGGGCTGCCTGCCAGGCAGGAGTCCTGTTGGCCAGCCCGGGCCCGTGGGGCGCTCACCTGGGGGAGACCACTCCGCCCGCGGCCCCTGCAGACACATCGTAGGAGATGAGCGTGTTGTCTTCCACTCGCTGAAGGATCTGCGGCCAGCAGGGGTGCATGAGGGGCAGCCCATCCCCAGGGACCCCAGACCCAGGTTCCAGCCCCACCTGTGCCCACATCCTGATGCTGAAAGCTACTTCCACAACGAAAAGCATCAGCCCCTGCACCAGGCCTTGTGCAGTTCAAGGCCAGGAGCTGGGGGCTGGGGGCTGATGCTGGGGCAGAGGGGTGCCCTGGCCCTCCTCACCTGGCAGGCAGTCACCGTCTTGTTCCAGAGTACCATCCGCTCTGGCTGCAGGATCACCTCCTGGTACACCAGCTCCGCGGGGCATGGCAGGAAGGTCTGGGGGTGGGGGTGGGGGGCGGCGACAGGGCTGGGTGGAGGCAGTGAGCCACAGCACCCCGGCCCTGCCCTGGGATGTGGAGAAACCTGCCAGAGGCCCGGGCCCCCGCCAGCGGCTCCAGGACACACATTGCCCTCACTCACCTTCAGAATGAATGTCTTTCCATGAAAGGGAACCTCAATGGTGGACACGGTGTCCCCGTATTCCTGTGACAGGGACAGGAGGGGGGAGGTGGGCGGGGGCTGGCGGTGACCCACAGGCCGGGTCTGAGCAGCTCAGGGGGACAGCTCAGGGAGTGCGGGGATATTTGAGGAGCCGGCACAGACGGTGGCTCTGACAGAGGGCCAGCGAGGAGGGACGCGCCGGGCACAGCTGCAGGCACGGAGAGGCGCGTCCCGAGCCGGGCAGGGCCTGGGCAGGCTGCCCCGCCACCCGCCCTGCAATCTCCTCTGATAATGCTGTTCTGATCAGGAAACACAACACCAGGCCCGGACAGAACCGGCTTCCCCTTCAGAGTCCGGGAGGGCGCAGAGGAGCAGAGAGGCGAGCAGCGGGAGCAGGAACATGCAACAGGGCGGCCCTAAGGTCCCAGCACCCCCACCCCGCCCTGCCCCGCCGGACCCTTCTTGGCCTGATTTCTCAGGCCTCTTAAGAGGGAGTGAAACCCCGACTGCCAGAGCTGAGGGGGCAGAAATGCTTCTTCACATTGTGCGCCTGTGAGCACGTGTCCGTGTGCTCGTGTATGAGCGTGCCGGCGTATGTGCACACGTCGGAGAGGCTGTGCGCACGCCACGCATGGGGATACGGATGCTGGAGCTGGAACCCAGGGCGCGTCCACACAATGGCAGCTTACATTGTTCTTCTCAAACTTCCAGTTCTCCTCCTGGGCTAAGATCTGGTCCACCACGGCCATGGCCTCCTTGCCCTGGCGGATGTACTCCCGCTCCTGTGGGGCAGGAGGATGCAGGGTCACAGCCGCTGGTCCCTGGGGTCAGGTTCTGCCCAGGAAGCAGCAAAGGCAGCCCAGGCCTGAGTGGCCAGGGGGAGGTCTGGGGTGCCTGGACCCCACCAGACATGGCTCAGGGGTGCAGGTCCTGAGGGGTTCCCAGGCACAAGACAGATACAGGGGAGAGGGCCAATGCTCAGATGGACACTGACCGGCCCCGAGGCTGCCAGGGGCCCCGGGGCTGGCAGGTCTCCCGGGGGTCCGCTACGGCAGGTACCTGAGCCGAGAAGCTCTTCCTCCCTGCACCATCCTCATCTGAGTCATCGTCAGACCCTGCAGGAAAGAAGCAGATGACAATGGGGAGGGGCGGAGAGTGTGGGAGGCAGAGGGGTGCGGTGCCGAGCGCCAGGATGCGGGGGTGACTATGCGTGTGGGAGAGGGGGTTGGCTCTCCCTAGGGAGCTGAGAGGAGGAACAGAGAGAACAGACCCGGCCTACCCGCTCCTCATGCAGCCGACCCCCGCCCGCCCCAAAGGCAGCTCCTGTCCCGAGCTCTTACCTGCAAAGGACTCGGGGGGTGAATAGAACTGGCCCTCGGACAGTGCCCCCGAAAAGAGGAGGGGTCCACTGGCAACAGCAGCCTGGGCCGCAAGATACCCTGGGGAGGGGCAGACAGAAAAACTCAGTCCCGAGAGGGGCTGGGGGGGGGGGGGGTGGCGCTCCTTCCCGCCAGGCTCCCCGCACCCTCCCCCCCGCCCCGCACTCACATCGCTCCTCCTCGGCTTCCTGGGGCAGGACCTTGAAGTCCAGGAACCAGGTCTCCAGCCAGGCAAGGACGAAGGAGGCAATGGGCAGCAGGTAGCCGAAAGCCCCTTTGCTGAGCAGCTGTGGAGGGCAGGGGCTGAGCGCCACGCAGAGGCCCCCAGGAGCCCCCCATCCCCACCGTGTGTGTGTGTGTGTGTGTGTGTGTGTGTGGTGAGGGCCGCGGGCACAGAGGTGCAGCAGGGGAGAGGGAGGCGGACGGGGTGCAAGGGCTCCTCTCTTGGGGTCTCGGGGAAGAAAGCGGGGAGACCTTGCAGATATCAGAGGCCAGCGTTCTCTCCCCCTCCCCCCCCACGTGATAGCAATCGGAGAAAACCCTTGGGAGGAGCAGCCCATCCCTTGGGCTCGAAGCCCACCCGACCAGCCAGGCCTGAGCCACTGACCTCCGAGAGGATGACCTTGACTATGAGGAAGGCGCTAGACACCAGCGTGGTGACCTGCCCGGGAGGGGAGGAGCAGAGGGAGGACGGCTGGGGCGGGGAGTCCCCCTCCAGCGCCCCGAGCCCCCACCCGCTGCCGGAAGGGGCACCTACCGCAATCACCCACCAGTGGCGGAGCCGCAGCACGGCGTAACCCAGGAGCAGTCCCGAGAAGCGGAAGAAGGCCAGGACCTGGGGCGGGGGGCACCACAGACAAGCCAATGCCCCCAACCCCACAGCAGGTGGGCCTCCCCTTATCCTGCTCGCTGGGGCAGGGGGCGCAGGGTGGGGGGGCCTTCAGCGCCTGCTGAAGGGGCAACCTGAAACAGGACCTGGTCTGCCCTATTCCAGACTTGGGGATCTCAGAAGGAGGGAGTTGAACGCCCCCCCCCCCCACCCCCCCCCACCCCCCCCCACCCCCCCCCCCGCCGCCTCATATGGACGTGGCAGATGCAGAGAGCCAGGCTGCCCCTGCCCCCATGCACCCTGCAGGCCCAGCCCCACTCACAAAGATGTCAAAGAAGGAGGTCTTGAACTTGTAGTAGATGATCTCCTGCTCCAGGCTCTTCCGGATGCCGGTGTTGGTCTGGGGAAGCAGAGCAGAGGGCGGCTCACAGGAAGAACCCCAGCCCCAGGGCTGCGCCTCACCACCCCCCCCCCCCAGGGCTGTGCGAAGCTGAGTAGCGTGACTGAGAGGTGAAGCCACCCCCAAGGAAGTGCCCTGAGCCCCCAGGACAGCTAGAAGCGCGGGGAGGGGGGGGGGGGACAAGGCTGGAGGGGAGCCAGTGGCGGCCTCACACTGTTCCTCTCCCTCCCACCACGAGGTGCTCCATCTTCCCGGCCGGCCGTGGAGGCAGACAGAGCCCCAGGTGGCCACTGGCTAGATTGGGTTTATGTCTAATGGGTGGAATCCATCACGCTGACAGAGAGGTCAGCCAGTGCGGCAAGCGGGCGCAGCCTGCTCCCACCATCTGACACCTGCGCTGGACCCCAGGCCTGGCCCAAGGGCGCCATAGAGGCAGCTTGACTCCTCAGGAGAAAAAGGGTGTCAGAAGGGAGGACAGCACCCAGGAAGAGGAGCCTCCTGGCACCATGATCTCTGAGGGGGGACATGGGATAGGCACGCTGACCACAAAGGGATGCTGAGAGTGGGAGGGAGACCTAGCAGGCTTCACGGCAGGACCCCTGGCTCCTGTGCCTGGGCTGCCTGGTCCCTTGGGCACCGCCGGCAGCAACCCCTAAGTTACAGCCAGGTGTGACCTCTGAAACCAAACCAGACCAAAGAGAGACAGATGTTGGGGCCCGGAGCACGTAGGACGCTGCCTACACGCGGTCGACCCAGGATCCATCCCTGGCACCCATATGGTCCCCGAAGCCCTCCAGGAGTGATCCCTGAGCACCTCTGGGTGTGGCACAAAAATGACAGAGAGAGAGAGAGAGAGAGAGAGAGAGAGAGACAGGCAGGCAGGCAGGCAGGCAGGCAGGCAGAGGCATTCCTGCAACCAGAGCCCCGCGGTGCTCATGAGTGTCCACTAGGGGGCAATTTGGGGCATAGGTGAGGAGTGTGGGGCGGGGAGATGGCATCTGGGTGCAATCTGCACTCAAGACTGAACTGGGGCTGGAGCGGGTAGGGCCTTTGCCTTGCACATGGCTGACCCGGGTTCGATTCCCAGCATCCCATATGGTCCCCTGAGCACTGCCAGGAGTAATTCCTGAGTGCAGAGCCAGGAGCAACCCCTGTGCATCTCCAGGTGTAACCCAAAAAGGAAAAAAAAAAAAAAAAAAGACGGGCCAGCCCTCCCTCCTCTAGGCTCCTTCTCCGGGATGGCTGGCCTGGGGGAAGTGAGGCCCAGGCGCCTCACCCGTCTGCTGCCCCTACTCACGTTCAGCTCAATGATCCAGAGCAGGGAGATGAAGAGCAGGTCGAAGGTGACGAAGAGGCAGAAGGTGCGGCGGACGTCGGAGATGGCGCTGCGCTTCTCGGGCGGTGGAGGGAGGAAGTGCGAGGACAGGCTCTGGCTGTGCGACAGAGACGAGCCCAGGGAGGCCACGGCGGGCAGGCTGCGCTCCAGGTCTCGGGCCAGCTCCCCGGGCAGCTTGCTCATCCTGGAGGGCCGCTCCGGGCGGGCGGGCCAGGCTCAGCGACAGGGCTGCGGGTGATGGGCGCAGGGTCAGGGGGCGCGGCAGCCAACCCGCTCACCAGCTCCAGGTACCTGACTCCCCCGACCCCCCACCCCCTCTTCTCTGCCCAAACTCTCCCTCTACTTCCCGGGGTGCCCCGACTTCCGGGCTGTGGGGGCACTGTCCCTCCCACTGCCCTCCCCTGCCCCGCCAAAGGCCCAAGGCCTGCCCAGCTCAGCCCTGATTGTCAACAGCCTCTGGGCCTGCACCCCCACCCCCCTCCTAGCAGGGCCCCAAGCTCTGTTCTTTGTTCCCAGCACAAAGCCACATTCCCTCTCAGTGACCAGCCTACCCTCCCACCCCATCCATGGTAACTGGGAGGGACTTCCTAGGCGGCCCTGGAGAGAGGACATCTCGGTCGCTTCCCTCTCATCCATCCCACCCACCTCAGGCCCAGCCGCCAGCCAGGGAGGCCTCCCCACACCCAGGCCAGCCCCCGCCATTCCCCAGAGCACCCCATGTGCTGCTCTGCCCAGGGTTCTCACCCCAGGCTCTCCCCACACACGGGCCTCCCACCCCTTCCAGCCCTCCCCTGGGCTCAGAAGGCCTCTCCTGGGTCCTCTCTTCCAGGGCGCCCCCAACCCTGTCTCTGGCGGGCCTTCGGGGATCTCTGAGTCTCTGGGCTCTGGTTCTGGTCTGGGGCCGGGTGGCCCACAGGTGGGGCTCTGCACGGGGCAGGTGGGCGGCAGAGCCCAGCACCCCCAGGCTGGCTGTGCCCTGGAGGAAAGGGAGGTGACACGGGCAGGGCCTCAGCACGAGGCTGAGCTTCTGGGCCCCGCCCTGAGGTCCCGGAGCTTATCGGGTCGTGGGGAGAGGACAGCAGCTCTAGATGTTTGTCCTTAGTCCTGGGGAAACCAGCTCTGACTTCGGTCCGACTCGCTGTCCCCTCCAAAGCTCTGGATGCCCTACCGGGGCCACACAGGGCCAGCAGGAGGTTTCGAACAAGCCTGCTGGCCCTCCACGCCCCTGTGCAGACCCCTGCCCCCACACAGGAGCTAAGGGTTCAGTGGAGGCACCGGCTGAGGCCACCCCCAAGTCCCACACTCTTGGGGTGACAAGTGCCTTCAGCAGGTCGTGAAGAGCCCAGCTCTGGAGGGCGAGCCAGGTGGGGGGCCCGGCCGAGGGTCAGCAGGCCTGGCGCCTGCACCTCAGCGCCCCACCACCCCCAGTCCCCTGTGCTGGCTTCCTGAGTCCTACAGTCCCCTCTCCATCTCCTCTTCCTGTCTGCACTCACCCACTGCCGCCCCCTCCTGCCCACTGAATCCCATTGTCTCTCCCTCTCCCCCTCCTCCCTCTGTCTACCAGTTGGGGGGGGGGGCTGCAAATCCCCCCAAGCCAGCTCCTGTGCGGTCTGTCCCTCTGGGGTCTGGGGTGGGGCAACAGCCTGGGTGTGATGCCCCCCGTGTGAGGTGGTGCAGCGACTCTCACACGCCCAGACGTCCCTGGGAGGTGAGAGACAGGGACCGGGGGCTGAAAGCAGAGGTGTGTGTGTGTGGGGGGGCGCCACGGAGCTTCAGACACAGGGGTGCAGGAGCCCCCAGGGCTCAGGGCAGGCCAGGCAGTGCGGGCAGGACAGCAGCCGGAACCCCGGCCCAGGCCAGGCGCCTCCTTCCCACCAAGCCTCAGCCTCTCTGGGGGCGAGGGGAGCGGAGCAGCTCAGCCTTTCACAAAAAGCCCTTCTGTGAGGACAAGAATGTAAGTGGCAACTTCCTGGGAGCCTGTGTGAAGAGGCAGAAAGCTGGGAACAGACTGGTGGTGGTGGCACAAAGACCCCCTCCCCCACGTCAGCCTTCTGCACCCTCAAGGCCCCCTTGCCCAAAATGCTGCCTGCCGCCCCACCCACCGTGCCCACCACCATCTAGATGAGGGCAGGGGAGAATGAGGGCTGGGAGGTGGCTGCACGCAGAGGTCGCCCCCGACCCCTGGGCACAGCACCCCCCCCCCGCCAACCCCCACCCCTGCACCCGCCCCCCTCCACCAGTACCCCAGCACTCGGGCAGTGTTAGAAGAGCATGTGGGGGGGATGGGCCTGGCTGTCTGCAGGGGCGCAGGGCTGCCACGTGGGCAGAGGTGGAGGGCAGGGGTGCGCAGGACTCGGGGACAAAGGGGAGAGAGGGGCAGGAGCTGAGGGGCGCAGGATTCTGAGGCGACACCTCCGGGACAGGAAACAGAGGCAGCAGCCAGAGTCCTTCCGGAACACCAGCACTGCAGGAACCAGACTCCAGACAAGCTTTGAGTTCCTTTGTTTTCATTTTTGTCTTCCGGGCGACACCCAGCACCACTTCCTCCTGCCTCTACTCAGGGATCACTCCTGCCGAGGTTGGGCTGGGGGACCTTATGTGGCACCATGCATGGAACCAGAGGTGGCCCATACAAGTCAAACTCCCTCCCCACTGCACTCTATTCCAGCCCCAACATTTGGGATTTCATATATATATATATTATTTTTTCTTTTGGCTTTTTGGGTCACACCTGTCAATGCTCAGGGGTTACTCCTGGCTCTGCACTCAGGAATTACTCCTGGTGGTGCTCGGGAGACCATATGGGATGTCAGGAATTGAACACAGGTCAGCCGCGAGCAAGCCAAATGCCCTACCCGCTGTGCTATTGCTCCAGCCCCTCTTAGAATTTTTCGGGGGAGATCTGGGGTTTTAGTTTTGCTTTGGGGGCCACACCCAGCAGTGCTGCTCAGAGCTTGGTGCTCAGGGGTCGCTCTGGGCACTGCTGAGGGCTGCACTCGGGCCTCCTGCACGCAGAGCCTGGGGAGAGTCTCTGGCCCTTATGTCCCCGCGACAAAGGCACACGACGGCCTAAGTGTCGGGAGGGAACTTGGCAGGTGTGGGGCCAAGGCTGAGGTAGAACAAGGAGCTGAGGAGGCAGGTCAGGTGAGCGGGAAACAGGGCGGCCGAGTGCGTGCTTGGGGGGTGAAGGGGCTGCCCCACGGTGCCCGGTGACCGCCAGGAAGGCCTCCGCACCACACTTCACCCACCAGCGACCCACAGCAAGCGCTCGGCCCTTAATCATGCGTTCTCATCTCTGTGTGGAACAGACCAGGTCGCTCCGGCCCAACACAGGTGAATTCCAAGGGGCGGTCCTGGCCCCTTATGCTCGCTCGGGCGGGGGGGGGGGGGGGGGGGCAGAGGCTCTTCCCACTTTGGGTCCAGGCCCCACTCCCCAGTCACACCCCAGTCACCCGGGCAGCTCTGCCTGTGCTTCCCAGCGGAGACTCCTGGCCCCGCAAAGGGGCCACGCCACCAACAACACCCTCCTCTCCACAGGCAGCCTGAGAGCTGCCTCTGTCGATCACGGAGCGGTGATCAGACCCTGGCCCGGCATCAAAGGCTGCGGTGAGGCATGCCAAATGCCAAGAACAGTGTCTGGCACCACCAAGTGAGAATCATTGATGCCAAGAATGAACTGGGCTCCCCCTGGGGAAAAGGTCCCACCCTTGGACTCACGCTTCACTAGTCACTTGGGCCCTGGTCTTGGTCTTCTCCTCTGTAAAATGAGAGCAGCGGCCCCATTTCCCTGAAACGTCTAAGGATGGTGGGAAATCCCTTTTCTGTCCCTGGGAAATGGTTTGGGCCAGGGCAGGGGTTGTTCTGGGTCAGCCCCATCAATGCCAGGTTCACCAAGAAGGCACAGACGGGGAGGGCAGAGACGCTGTGGGGACATGGGCGTGGCCAGGAGGGGTAGGCATGGCCAGCACGCTCTACCAGGTAGGAGCCAACACCCCTCACCTGACCTTTGGGCACCCGCCCTCAGGCTGTTCTCAACACAGTGGCCAGAAGCACCCGGGAAACGTCAGCCCATACCTCTCTGAGCCCCAGCCTCCCATGGATTTCACCTTGCTCAACAAAGGCCAGTCTTCACCCTGACCCCCTACAAGCCTCTTCTTCCCCCAGCCTCTTTCAAAACCCTCTGCTGGAGCCTCCCTGCCCCTCTGCTCCTTGGATGTACCCCAGGGCCCTTGCACCCGCCTCCTCACAGTCTGAGCCCTTGGTCCAGAGACCACTTCCTTCTGAACCCTATGAAAATAAGTCTTTCTGGGGACAGACCTTCCCAGGACTCTGCCAACCCCTCCCTCCACCTCCCCACCCTGCTCCGTGTGTACTTATTTCCTCAGGATTTGTGGCCTCCCAGTGCTTGCTCATGGCTCCAGGCCCATACCCTTGGGGCTCCCGGAAGACACCGGGGAAACCCGCCATGTGGTCATCCACCTCCAGTGAGGGGCTCTGTGTGCATCAGGGTCAGCCACCAGCCTTGCCACGGGTGAGGGGAGCAACATTCCTGGGCACCCGCCCTCCTCCAGCATCTCAACCCCACTCCGAGCCTCGGGGTTCACTGAATGCCCTGGACGGCAAGACTGCAGGAAAGGGGTTCCGCAAACCCCTCACTGTCCCTGGCCTTTCCCACTGACCATGGCCTTGCCCCGGGATCGTCCTCCCCCAGGGCCTTCCACAGAGCCTTGTTCTGACAGGGAAACCACCCTCCTCAGAGGCCAGCTGGCACCCAGCCCGAGCTCAGCACTTCCTCCTTCAACGCTATAGTCCAGCTACACTCAGTCTCCTCGTCCTACCAGAGGCCCAGAGGGCCAGGTCCTGGTGAGTGACCATGGCAATGGCTTGGAAGTCTGTGTCTATGGGTCCTAATGCCCACCCAGGAACCGGGAACAGGGTCTGAGTTCCAAGTCTAGTTTTGGACCTCGAGTCAAAAGTCCAAAGCGAGTGACACGGCCCCAGGCCTCTCACCAATCAGAACCTGGGTCCCCTGGCAGCCTGGGCTCTGCTTGCAAAACCTCCTCTCCAACCCCTACAAAACTTTTTTGCCTTTTTTGCTTTAGGGGGCAACATGGATCATTCCTGGCAAGGCTTGGGGGACCTTATGCCGTGCTAGGGATTGAACCAGAATCAGCTGCCCACAAAGCAAGCACCTTACCCACTGTATTACCTCTCTGCCCCTCCCCTTGAAGTAATTTCTATCCGGTTCTGTGCCTTTGACCAAATCCCTAGAATACCTCTAGGTATTCTAGAATACCTCTGTCCACCTTGCAGAACTACAGAAAAAAAAAACTAGAAATAACTCATATGCAGTGCTTTGCCTGTTCAGTGGTTAGTCCCACAATTGAGGGGCCCAGTGGCTGATGTGACCAGCGGAGCACTCGGCCCAAGAGGAGGTACAGCCTCTGGCCACTGCCTCAGGTTCCCACAGATGCTTACGGGGCTCATCCTCTCCCCTCCCCTCTCTCTTTCACACATCTCTCATTCATTCACACATACACACACACCCCGCCCAGAGGGTCTGCGATGGTCCCTGGGGAAGGAGGAGTTTAAAGAGAGGCGTGTCAGGGGCAGGAAGTAGAAGATCAGAAGTATAGCACTCAACCAAGACAGAGACAGAGACAGAGACAGAGACAGGGAAGCACGTGGCAGCAATTGACAAATAAGATCTTAGAAGGGCAGCAGGGTCCATTTCTTCTTTCCTTAGGGGAAGTGGAAAGAGAAGTGTCAAATCAAAAGAGAAGCCATAGCATCGCTGCATGCAGGCCCCCCCCCACCCCCACCAACTGGGGAAGTGCTACTGGAAAACTCCCTGACTGAGATCTGAGATCTGCTCTGTGCTCCTAGCCCCCAAAACACACTTTTCAGGCCTCCAAAAGCATCAGGGCGCCCCACAGTATGATTCCAGGACTTCTGGCCACCCAGGGGCTGGGGCGTCAGGGCCCTCCCACCCTTTCATGCTCTTTGTAAAATGTGGGACCAGGAGGTCAGGTTCTCACGGGTCCTCTTCCAGTAGACATGGGCAGTCCTCACCTCTCCACCACTGGAGGGGCTGAGTGCAGGGCACACCCCCGCCCCCAGCATATCCCTGGCCAGACAAAGTCAGGATCTGCAGAAAAAAGCTCATAGCTGACCATGTGAGGTACTTCCGTGGCCCTTGGTCTACTTTGTGGCAGGCCCTGAGACAGTTTCTAAAAGTCCCTGTGCACAGAAGGAAGTTTTGTTTTGTTTTTCCTTTCTTTCATTTGGGGGTGGGGAGAGGTGGTCACACCTGGTGATGTTCAGGGCTTACTTCTGGCTCTGTACTCAGGTATTACTCCTGGTGTTGTTCAGGGGTCAGGGGACCATATGGGATACCAGGGATCGAACCCGGATCGATCACACGCAAGGCAAACACTCTCCCTGATTATCACGCTGATCTCCAGGAGGAAGTTCTTGGGGGGGGGGGGCAGGAAACCACACCCAGCAATGTTCATGGGTCCATGTGATACTGAGGATGGAGTCCGGGGCTCCCACACATGGTGCCTGTGCTTCATGCTGTGCACTGAGCATCTCCCTGGCCTAGAAACTAGTTTCTGATGATCCTGTTGAGTGACTTGACATTACCTCCCCTGAGTCTCAGCTTTCTCATCTGTAAAATGGAGCCAACGGTCCACCACTCAAAGAACAGACACGAGTTGAGAAAAAGACAGGAGTAGACCACAGGCCTTGAATGTGTGAAGCTCTCAGTTCAATCCTGGCACCAAAAAGAAAAAGACTGAACAGGGGGGCTGGAGCGATAGAACAGCGGGTAGGGCGTTTGTCTTGCACACGGCTGACCCAAGTTTGATTCCCAGCATCCAATATGGTCCCTGAGCACTGCCAGGAGTAATTCCTGAGTGCATGAGCCAGGAGTAACCCCTGTGCATCACTGGGTGTGACCCAAAAAGAAAAAAGAAAAACTGAACAGGATTTTGGTCTTGCCAGCCCCAGCCCCAACAGGCATTCCAGGTGCAGTGGGAAGTCCGACATGACACTGTGATGTGCCTGCCGGGATGAGTGCTCTCTGGGAGGAACACAGGAATGCGTGCTCCCAGGGCAGGAAGCATCTGCCTGGCTGTACCGAGTGAGGTCAGGAGGCCACAGGGACGAGAAGCATCTGAGCAATCATGAAGAATCAGTGTCAGTCCATGAGGCAGAGAAGACGGCCTCAGCCTAAGGTCCAGGCCCAGCACCCAGGCAGTACTCGCTGAGTCTAGCCCAGGGGTGAGCCCCCAAACACAGGCAGTCCCTCCCTCCCCAGGGCATGGCCCCTGGCTGCTCCTAACCCAAAGGAGTCGTCTGTCATGGCTGAGCAAGGACAGGAAGCCGGGCCTCAGCAGGGGAAGCCTTCCCGTCCTCCCCCTCCCCCTCCACGCCCCACCCAGCTCACAGCCAGGGAGAAGGTTTTAGTGTAGAGAACTGTGATAAGTGTGTGAGAGCCTGAGCTCCATCCCCAGTGCCACCAGCGGCCCCAGCCCCTCAACTCTGAGTCTCCCCCCTCTCTTTGGTGGCCCCAAATTCTCTTCTGATGCCCCTTGCTACTGGTCGGCCCTCTGGAAAGCACCCATGGCCTTTGTCTCCCATGAGTACCCAAAGCACCAGGCACAGAATTAAGGCTGGCCCTGTCAATTTACTCATTTCCACTTCACTTCCGGCACAGACTGACCTTGGGGGCTGGGTCTTTTCCACCTTTTGAATCTCTGTTTGATATATCTACCTTGACAAAGAGCCAGACCTTTGGGCTCTGCGACAAAATAAGAAGCCAATTCAACCATTCTCTAGCAGCTTAAGAAATTATGCCAAGGGCCAGAGAGATAGTACAGCAGGAAGGGCACCACCTTGCACAGAGTCGCCCAGGTTCAGTCCCTGGCACCTCATATGATCTCCTGAGCCACATGAGGAGTGACCCCTGAGGCAGAGCCAGGAATAAGCCTTGGTCTTAAAAAAAAAAAAAAAAAAAAGACAGTACCAGAGTGCAAGCAGCCTGATTTGGGAGCTCACTACATTCTCTACTACACCACCACAGACGGGGCACTACAGGCACACAGAGGGGTGCGGGGAGTCTGGGAGATGGGGCAGGGGTGCAGAGCTTATGCTGCCAGAGCTGAGACTTAAGAACCGGAAGAGGCAGCCTGGCAAACCAGAGAGGTGGCCGGTGACTTAAAGCTGCCAGGTAGGGAAGTGCACCCTGCAGGGCCTGGTTATTGGACCTCAGAGTACTCCTGAAGACACACAAGACAAGCTAGATGACGGAGCTCTGAACTACGCCTCGACTCAACTTTCCCACAGGCAATGGGGAAGAAGCTATCAAGAGTCTACATAAGAATTTGGTGTCTTTTTTTTTTGGGGGGGGGGAGCTTTTGTGCCATATGTGGTTGTACTTAAGAAATCCATGGTGCCCGAGATGGAACCTAGGCCTCGCTCCTGAAAGGAGGTACACGAGCCTTTTGAACAGTCTACCTGGTCCTAACCTTGTGTTTTAAAGGAATCACAAAAGTCACAGTGCAGGTCCGTGTGGCTGGAAGACACTGGAAAGCTGATGCAGTCCCAGTAAGAAACACATGATGGGGGATATTTGTGGGCAAGACCAAGTTGAAGCATGTTCGGGGAGTGAGCTGGATAGATCGCCTTTCGGAGGGGGAAACTGAGGGAGGAAAAGTAGGGTGAGACAATTCCCAGGGATCTGTGGGGGACAGGGGGCCTGAGAGCCGATGAGTCTGCAGGAGAAAAGGCCAGCTTAAACAGACCGAAACAGAGCTGCCCAATGGGCTCATGGTGGAGGGTGAGAGGCTGGGCAGGAGGAAACTGACACGGTCCTTCTGTTAGGGCAATAGGAAGAGCTTGGGGAAATGCAGAGGAAGCCAACGAGGGATGCAGGTCCAGGCCAGCCACGCTAATTAGGAAAGTGCGACGGATGTCAGTTTCAGAGTTTTCACCTCTTGAAAACTCGTGAAAGATGATGGGCCCGAAGAAATAGCACAGCGGGTAGGGCACTCGTCTTGCATGTGGCTGACGGTTCCATCCCGAGCATCCCATAAGGTGCCCCCACCCCCCAAGCACCGCCAGGAGTGATCCCTGAGCGCAGAGCCAGGAATGAGCCCTGCGCATCGCCGGGTGTGACCCCCCAAAAAACAAACAAACAACAACAGCAAACTCATGAAAAGACACTTCAAAGGGCCCTTCTGATGTCATCTAGGAAGTCACTCGCGGCCTCTCTTGGGGAAGCCGGGGCGGCGTGATGACAGCAGAGCCCGGGGACGCGCCTCCGTCTGCAGACCCGCACCCCTCCGCAGAGCAGCCCCTGCCCTGGCCCTCCCCTCCCCGCGATGAGGGCGGCACCGGAGGGCGGCCCGGGACCCGACCCCGCGCCCGTGCCCAGGTCCCTCTCGAGCCCGCCAGGGTCCGGTGCGCTCACAGGAGGGGGCGGAACCTGCGACGCGGCAGGCGTGGGAAGGGTCGGACGGAACCCGGCACGGACACCGGGCGCGGGGGTGGCGGGGTGTGGCAAGACACGCCGGCAACACAAAATCCCCCGTGCAACCACCCGGTTCCACTTCTCCAGAACGCACCTGCTCCATGTCAGCCGCGGCCCCCGCTCATCCCGGCCCCACCGCCGTCCGGCTCTGCGGTCCCAGCAGCGCCTAAAAGCGGAAGAGGAGCGCCCGGCGGCTCCACTTCCGCCGCCGAGCCCGCCGCCGAGAGCCAACCGGGACGCGCCTCGGCCTGCAAGCCCCGCCCCCGAAGCCCCACCCCCGCAGCAGCCCCACCCCCAAGCCCTCGGGCCGGAAGTGGCGGCTGCGCCTGCAAGTTCTAGTTCAGCTGGGGTGTCCCAAAGGCCAAGGGAGCCATGGTCCAGCGGAGAGGGTGCATGCCGTGCACGCGGCCAACCCGGGCTCGCTGTCTGGCGTCCCATATGGTCCCCCCGAGCACCGCCAGGACTTAATTCCTGAGTGCAGAGACATGGTAATCCCTGAACAATCTCCTCATGTGGCTGTACCCCCCAAAACCCCTAGGCCAAGAGTGCAGTGGGAAAATAGCCTAGGGGCATCTTAGTTCTTGGGCCACTTTAGCCAGGTGTGGTGAGGAGAGAAGGGAAACTGAGTGAAGGGAGACTGGTGGGGTCTGGAACAGGTCGTTGGGAGGAATCCAAAATTAGTCTGTTTTATTTTGGGGTCATACCCAGTGATGCTCAGGTCTGACTCCTAGCTCTGTGCTCAGGGATCACTCCAGGCAGGGCTTGAATGACCATACGTGGTGCCTGGAATCTGAGTCTACTGTGTGCAAGGCAAGCTCCCTACCTGCTGTTCCGTGGCTTGGGCCACACAATTAAAGAGTTTCAGCACCCTCCCCCAACCCCCAAACACACACACACACACACACACACACACACACACACAGCCTCTCTTTATTTAGCCCGTGTCTAGACCTTCTCTAGACATGGGGGCCCCCTACCCCCAACCTGTCTTTAGGAAAGTGAAGACCAGGTGGTCCTTGCCTTGAGATCACTGTACCCTTGAAGAATTCCCAACTTCCACATCCTAAACCCTTTTTTGAAAGAGGAGTCTCAGCACCATTATTTACAAAGATTTATTACAGCAGGGAAGCAATTCAGGCTTGGAGTTGGGGAAGAGGGGAGGGGGCAGAGCAGCTGGAAGACAAGGAGAACCTGGCTCCCCTCACTCGGACCCCCCACCCCCAAGGATGTGTACTAGGCGGCATTCCTGGCATCAAAGCACAAACAAAACGCAACAAAGCAGCCTCTGCCAGTCCCTCTGCCAGGCACTGGGCGGGGAGCAGGGGGTGAGGGAGAATGTTGGGGCAGTGCAGAAGGATGCCTGAATCCGGGTCCAATGAGAAGCTATGCAAGGTGACCTGAACACCCCCTTAGCAGAGGAACTGAAGGCCCTAAGGACACCCCTACGGATTCTCAGTACCCCCTTTTCCCCAGGTCTTAGGGTCCTGCCCTGTGCGTTTCCTGTGTCCAGGGGAGAGGAGGGTCTGGGAAAGAAAATTCTAAAGGATTGACTTGATTTTTCCAGTACAAGTTCTCACCTTCCGCCTCCCACTGGGTGAATGGGGGCATAAGCGACTGGCAGGGGTGGGCATCAGGCAGTACGTGCCCAGGAACTCTGGGCCTCAGCCAAAGGTGAGGGCAAACAAGCAAACACAGACCAGCCTTACTCTTCTAGAACTCAGAAGCCGCAGCCCTAGCGAGGGAGGGGCAGGGCACAGAAACGGGGTGGAGACGAGAGGGTTTCTGGGGAACAGCGATGCACCCGCCGCTTCTTTCTGGGAGAGACATGGCGGGATGCCTAGGTGCCCGGCTCAGGGTGGGCAGGGGGCTGCGACACTTCACCAGGTTCTGTAAAGCAAGCAGAGGGACTCAGGAGCAGCCCCCCCAAGACTATCACCCAGGTGCCCGTGTCCCACTCCTCAGTCTCACCACGTAGAGCCTGGTCCCCCACTTGGTCCTCAGAGCTTCCATCTCTTGGGGGCTCATCCAGAGGGGGTGGGCGCTCCCAGGGCCCCTCCAGACCTTGACCACAGGCTGTCTTCTGCCCCGCTGGGGATGGAAAAGAAGGGCTGAGCACACGGGCTCTGGGGAGCTGCTGACTGGCCTGGTGATGAGCTGAGGCATAACTTTTGAGGGCCGAAGGAGGACATACTTGACTAGGACATGCTTCCCGGGGCCCCGACACACCTCTGCAGCGGTGGTCGGAGGGGACTGTGAGATTACCTTAACAAGACCATAGTTGGGTCTGGAGCAAAAGCACAGCAGGTAGGGCGTTTGCCTTGTACGCGGCTGACCCGGGTTTGATTCCCAGCATCCCATATGGTCCCCTGAGCACCACCAGGAGTGACTCCTGAGGTAGAGCCAGGAGTAACCACTGTGCATTGCTGGGTGTGACCCAAAAAGAAAAAAAAAAGCAAGACCATAGTTCATGGCCAGAGTGACGGTATAGTGGGCAGGACGCTTGCCTTGCACATGGCCGATGCAATCCCTGGCACCCCGTAGGGTCCCCTGAGACCACCAGAAGTGATCCCTGAACACAGAGCCAGGAATAAGCTTTGAGTGTATAGGTGGCCTAAAACCAAACCAGAAGACCATAACCCACATCCGGCCCTGCCAAGCCAAGCTCCAGCCCCCAGGATTACCAGGAGGGCTGGGGGTCCCCCGCACTCTGCGCTTGTTGAGCTTTGTTTGACCCCTTGGTCTGCTGATTTGTCCAGAAGGAACCCGCCTCCTCCCGCCTCCTCCCTCCACTTGCTCTGGGATGCTCGGTGGGGGTGGACACAAGTTCTCTCACTCAAGCTTTTGTTCCCATTGCTGCTAGTGATGCAGATGGGAGGCCCAAGTCATTTTTCTCTGGGTCCAAGAACCAGACAAGAGGTTGGAAAGACAGTACAGTGGGTGGGTCAACGGCCTTGCACAAGACTGACCCAGGTTTGATCCCCAGGATCCCATATGTTCTCCCAAGCACTTCCAGGTGTGATTCCTGAGTGCAAAACCAGGAGTAAGCCCTAAGCTTCATTGGGTGTTGCTAAAAAAACAGAACTGAAGCCAGCCAAGGTAAGTTTCTTGGATGGCTCTAAAAGTTCTGTGGGAATTTTTAAGTCTGGGTCCTCTAGCTCAGAGACCTTCAGTGTAGGTCTTGGGTACCCTTTCCGGGACCCTGTCCCTTATCTCCGGCTGCTGGGATGAAGGCCAGGTTGGTCTTGAATCCTGTGTTTTCAATCTCGACACTAGAGGGCACCCTTCTACCTCCGGCCTGGGAAGAGCAAAGGGAGAGAGAGGCTCCAGGCGTGGGTGGTGGGGAGGGTGTCTGTGTCACCTCTCTTCCTGGGCTCCAGAAAAGAGTGATGGTTGCCTTGGACAGTCTCACCCCCTCCCCCAATGCCTGCACCCCTATGCACACCTCTCCAACACAGGTGGGAGGGTTTTCTTTTATTTTTTTACTTTTTTTGTTTGTGTTTTGGGGCGACACCCTGCGATACCCAAGGCTTACTCCTGGTTCTGCGCTCAGGAATCACTCCTGGCGCACTTGGGGGATCAGATGGGGTGCAGGGATTGAACCCACATCAGCCATGATGAGCAAGGCAGATGCCCTGCAGGCTGTCCTATTGCTCTAGCCCCTGGGGAGGATTTTCTTGGCTCTCACCCTATCCTTTTTTCCATCTTGCCTGAATTCTGAGACTAACAAGGAATTTCACTTGACCCTTCATCTATCCATGTAGAACTTTCCACTCTCCCTCCAAACTTCTGTTACCGTGTTCTGCTTTTTTAGGGTCGTACCCAGAGGCACTCAGGTACTACTCCCAGCCTTGCTCCTGATGGTACAAGGGGGCAAAGGGAGGCCCCCCACACTCACAGCCTGTGCTCAGCCCTTCGAGCTCTCTCTCAAGCCCCGACAGTCCAGATGGTGTCCTCGGGGTATCCACGGGGCACCGTCCCAGCACCTCCGGTACTCAAGTTACTTATAGTTGGCACCTGCAGGGTCCCTACCCACAGATTCAGCCAACGCCCACATTGGCCGTGTCTGTGAATTTGGATGCAAGAGAGAGAACAGTCCGGCCGGGGGCTGTGTTGTCACAGGGCTGCTGAATGGGACGTGGTGGGGGCAGAGGACTCAGGGGTGAGACTAAGAGGGGGGTCGGGAGGGTAGACTCTCGGTAGCAAGGCCCACAGAACTTGGGATCCAGGTAGTTTGGGCCCAAGGGACCACTTACCGGGAGCCCTACAGATCTTCAGGACCTCAGCCTGGCTGTCCTCCTCCTCGTCCTCCTCGTCGTCGTCCTCCTCATCTTCATCATCCTCTCGGGGGTAGCCCAGCTCCCGCAGCTCCCCCAGTTCATCCTCCTCCCCTGGGCCCGGGTGCTCGCCCAGGTTGCTGATGGACTGCAGGTGGGACTCCGCAATGCGCTGCACGGCTGGCGGGGAGGCCCAGGGAGGCCTGGTCAAGGCCAGCCTGACCAGCCACAGGCCCAGCCCCGCCTCCTTCCCCAGCAGGAAGCCTGTCCCCAACCCCAGGGGCAGAGCAGGGCAGATGCAGCAGGAGGGATCCCCTTGAGCCTGCTCAGCCCTTAAGCTGTCCAAAGACACTGGCCCCCAGGAGCTGGCACCAAGCAAGGTCCAGGCACCACAGGGGGCCAGACTGGGCAAGACTGGGCAGGCATAGCGGTGGCTTAAAGCTTAACATTCTTGGGCTGTGTGACCTGGGGGACCAGCAGGTCCTGGGGACTGTCTGCCCAGCTGCAGTCCTGGGGGGAAGTTCCCCCTGATCCCCGCCCTCGGCCAGGCTGGGCTTCTGATGGCAGCAGCCTCCTCACCCGGCGCCTCTCACACCTGCTGCCCTGGTTCCCTGAGGCTGAGGGGGGAAGAGTCTGCGGCCTGTGTGGACCCCCCAATCTTACCCACATCCCCACACTGCCAGCTCTCTCAGGCATGACCTAGAAAGTGGCAAACACCCTCCACCCCTTACCAGCAGCCAGGCCAGCTGGGAGAGGCCCTGGGAAGGGACAGTGTGGGCAGCTGCAGAGGTTTCCCTGGGGGTGAGGGAAGCTGCTGGGGGGTGAAGGGAAAGGCAGGTGGGCTTGGGGTGAATGGGGGGGCATGGAGGGCTTTTGTGTGCTGCCCACAGTCAACCAGTGACCAGCTGGGGAGCACAGTGGCGGCCCCTCCAATCATGAGC